AGATATAAACTCGTACCTCCAATTTGTGTGCATTGCGATAGTCAAGCCAAAATTGGTTAAGTACAGAGTTAGATGTGGAATGGTAAGTCTAGACTTATGAGTCATAGACATAATACCATTAAACAATTTCTCACAACGGTGGTTATCTCTATTGACTACGTGATGTCAAAAGATAACGTAGCGGCCGCTAACTCGCTAACCCGAGGGTAAGCAAATGGTTGTGGAGAAATTGGAACGAGGAATGGGTCTAAAGTCCTTGGACTAAAAGTTCTATAGTGGATACCCAACCTAGCTAGCACCTAGGTTCAATGGGACAACTAAATTATGGAACGGAGCGTGTCACTGTGGGGGTCTCGGACTTCATGCCACTCCTCGTTAGAAACAGTGACTCCCGCACAAGGCTAGCACGTTGGTGCTTTAATGATTCGAATGTCGGTTAACATGTGTGAGTATGCGGGATACTCGGAAAAGAATCACCTACGTGAGAGAGAAGTGAGGGTCGCTTCAAAGAAGAATTGATGGGCACAATTCTTCACAAACTCTTGCAGAACCAGGATGGTGACCCACGACCAAAATGGGCACACTCATGAGAACATAGCATGGTTGGGAGGTTCCTATGTGAGATATGTTATCGTCTACACAAACGGCAGTCGGTTCAAAGACATCGCGTTCTACCGTACAGCCAGTAGAGTAAACATATCTTTACAAGGGAAGGTTCAAAGGGTATAGTGATCCCTACCTATCCTATGCAGGGATCGACCGTTGAACACAGTTTGTTTCCGATTTCAAAACACCCTGAAAATCAATTTTCATTCATGTGGGGGATTGTTGGAAAAAATAGCTTAAAATGGCGTAGTGAGTGGCTATTTTGTGGTACAATTATCAGTGGGGTCTACTTTCGATTTGGGTCGGGTCAAAGTGGATTCGGGTTCTTCGTAGTGAGACGAAGATATTGATATATTGTACGCTCAAAACGGATAATGGGTGAATGAGTTATTGATTCTCAAAGTAGACCCATTTGAGTTGAAAAATGAAGGGAAAAATTGAGCTTTTGTCCCACATTGGTTTGGGAAGAGGATTTGCCCCACTATTTATACACGAGCTCTTTTTAAACTTATTGAATTGTATAGCATAGAGGTTCTCTCTCGCGCGCAGGGGGTGCAAATCAAATCTCAGAATGCCATCCGAAAATTGACATGGGCCACCACGAATGAAACATGTTTCACTGTAATGCATGGCCACCAGTGTAGCATGCATTGTTTTCGGCTGATGGCCGAAACTTTCGGCCTAAAGCTTTTGTTTGTGACTATTGGGATTTAATTCAGCTGTTATGGGATTAATTTTTGAATTAATTTCAATTTTAATTTTTGAATTAACACCCATGTTAATGGTTGCTGTTACAAGAGTTGTAGGGATGCCTCTAAATGCCATAATAAAGGCTATTCACTCCTCATTCCCTATATAAGAAGGAGTTGAGCAGTAGCTTTTTTGAACACACAAGAAAAATAATTTTTCCAGCCTCAAAATACTTCTGCTTCTACTCCATTCTTGAAGCTGTGTTTTGTGCGTGCTCTTGTTCGCCGGGTTCGTTCGTTTGGGTGCTCAAACGTCGAACCGTTGTACGTTTTATCCTGGGAAACCTAGGCCACAATGCTCCTCGCACTTTTGGGATGTGGCAAATAAGGTTTTAAGGAAAGAAAGGCACTCGCCTAACTCGTACATTTCTTTCTTCCTTCTCCTTCTTTCTTGTTTGGATTATGCTTTTAAGCAAAAATCCGTTCTCCCTCTTATGATATATTAGTTGGATTGGACTTATAATCTGAGGATTATTAGTTTCAATTTTGGTTGATATATATTAGTATATCTTTTTCGTAGATATACATGTATATTTAACCTTTGGATCCGTTTTATATATATTTGTGTGTATATATATATTTCTGATAAATATCCAATAATATTTTATATACTTGTGTGTGTATATATAAATATTATTTTTAAGATATTAAATCGATTGTGGTTCATTATCACCAACAATTACATAAACATACTAGACAATTCCTACTTTCGGACAGAACACAAATTATTCTGTGGACCTAGGTTCATCTTGCAAGGTGGACCCAAGTTCAAATGTCCACAATATACATACATACTAAATGTTCACAATTTAACTTTTAAAAATACACAATTTGTATACTACGAACATAGAATGTTAACATATATGTAATTGATTAGTTAGTTTTGTATTCACAAGTTCTTTCAAAGACTACAATCACACAATATTAATAGACTAGCATTTTGTACACGCGATGTGCGAAAATTTAAGTCCAATATTAAAACATTGATAAATACAAATAATTAAAAATTATAATTTGAATTATATATACACAAATAATATATATATTTTGTGCACACACATATATAATTTATCATTCATAGAAATTTAATTAAAATATAATTAAGCATTAAATTAATATATAATGAGTTTAATAAAATGATAATTAAAAAATAGGATAAAGGTACGATAGATATAGGTGTATGGTAATAATGATGTGTTATCAATGTTAGAATTAAAAACTAATTGTATTATAATGGTGTAACGGTAATTTTGTCTAATAACATTGAAATATATAACATTTAAAGTAAAATGTACTCATTTATTTGCATACAAAAAGAGGGACATAAGTCAAGGATATAACCTTAATTGAGGCTTATTATGTTTTTAGATTAAGATTTGATAACCCTGATAGTTGTTATGTGTTTTGACTTAGAACACAATTTATATTCTAGAAGTTCACAATTCAAATATTAAAGGCTCAAGTGCCAAATAGCACCATGAACCAACAACGAAATGTCATCCCGCACCATAATCTTATATAAGTGATTATTCGATTCACAAACCAAAAAAATTTATTCACCTAGCATTTTTTACAGGTTACCCTCAAGTTAAAGGTTATAAGTCGGTGACGTGACGCTGACTTGGGTGCGACGTGTCGTATTTAGTAGATGTGGCAGAGATGTGTATTGATGTGGCATCCATTAATCTATTTGGTTGTCCTTTTCTCTTTTAATCCACATTTTTTTTATCCCATTAATCCATTAATCCCAAGTCAGGCGATAAAAAAATGTGTATTAATGTAATAATTTAGGCGATCCAAATCCCAAATCCCAAATCGAGAACATGGTCCAACAAAATTTCTTCGATTCTCTTCCTCATAATCGCAATCCCAAATCGCGACTTGAAACCAAATCCTTAATCGCAAACCGAAATCCGTAATCGCAAACCCAATCGCCTAGCTTAAGCCCTAAGCCCTAATCTGTATTTGTTATTCGACACCCTAAATCCCTAAACCGAGAAGCGTGGAACCGAGAAGAGTGGAACCGAGAAGACTGGAAAGAAGATTGGAAATCAGTTTCAAACCTCAAACCGAGTCAGGTATGTAGAACACTCTTTCAATGTTGTTGTGAATATATGCTTTTAATATGTAATATTGTATTGATTGTGATGTAGTGGGGTCCTATATGCTTTGAATATATGTTTGTATATACTGTGATGCAGTGGGGTCCTACTGTATATGCTTTGAATATGATGCTGGGTAGGGGACCAATTTTGTCACATACAGATTTAGGGGAATAACAAATAACAAATTGATTTCCAATTTTCTATTGATTGTGATGCAGTGGGGTCCTATGATGTTGCTTTTAATATTTAAGTTGTTTTTGTCTGTATATACTGTTATACTGATGTAGTGGGGTCCTATGATGTTGCTTTTATGTGCTGCTCTAGTGGGATGTTTCTTGCATTGAAGGATGGTTCTGATGTTTCTTGCATTGAAGGATGTTAAAATAAAATTGCAGCTTAATAAGGGTCATGCAGGAAGATGTAAGAGGTTTAACTTTGATATTATTTTAGTTAAAAATCATGTTAATATGTATCACATTGTGGCATCATAGACAAAAATAAATAACTACGCACAAAGTAAAAACATTAGCGGCACATAGCACCAAGTAAAAGAAGTTGACAGTTAACAATAATGCAGGGGGGCCAAAAAGGAGATCCAGCACTTAAATCCTAAATTTGAAAGAAAACAATAGCCCTTACTTGCTTAGCTTTTCCTTCATAGTCTCTAGTTTAAGAGCTGGAATTGAATGCAGAACTTTGAGAACATGAGCAGTGCGCTTCTTTGAATGTGATTTTGATTGCTGTGAAGATTTTCTGTTTGAATAATATTTGTCATTGGCAATATTGAAACGCCCTGTATGGGCTGTTGCTATTTGTTGTTGGAATGTTAAATTATTATACTAATCTTTTGTTTTTGTTTATGCTTGTAGATGTCACTCAAAATTGAAGACTTCTAGGCAATGATTGACTGGTTTGGCTGGACTTTTTGGCACCAAATCCAACTGGATTTTTTGATATCAGTAGAAGACTTCTAGGCAATGATCTGACTGTTTTTGGCTTATGTAATCTATGTAGTATGATTTATTGGCTATTGTAGTTGCCTTTTGTACTGGTAAAACTGTTTTACCATGTGGTTTCTGGCACTCAAATGTAATTTTTTTGGATTCATTAGCTTGTTGGTAAAACAAAGAATTCCAGGTTAAATTATGTTGCAATCGAATTCATACTGGGATTTTTATATTTGTTGCTGTGAATTCCAGGTTATATATTTGTGACTGTAATGGATGATGCAAGCAAATTTGGTATACCCCATTTTTATGAATATCTTACAGTTTACCTATTATGAGAAGGCAAGCAAATATCTAATGTGAATGGTCATTGATGCCAAGATGCCTAAATACAATCTCTAAGCAAATGCCAACATATCAAATCTGTAATTCTGGCAGCTTTTGCTATCTCTAAGCAAGATGCCTCTGTGTATTTGAAAGATGGGGTATACTATATCCAAAGGAAAGCAAGATGAAACACAATTTACCAAAATTTCATGCAAACTGGAAACTGGAATATCCAAAGGCAGTGGAGGTAAAGGCAATTGGTTTGAACAATGCAAACTGGAAACTTAAATTGTAATTTACCAAAATTTCATTACAATGTCAAACCATTACAATTTCTAACTACAGATTTTTGCTAGAAGGACCACAATTACAATTAGGAAAACAACACACTTGATCCTCAACACTTGGTTTTCTTTTTTCATACCACTATACTCATTTACAATTAATTGTTTAACAACTGCAATTTCAGACCTCAAAGACACCACCATCTTCTTTATGTCTTCATCCTCACCTTCAACCCTTCATGCACTGTGATCCTTCCAAAGAAAAAAAACACATCCATTGCCATCCTATACAATGAACAAATCGTAGCTTTAATTACCAAAATCAAATTAATTACCAAAGCTATCAAATTGCATATATGCAGTGCTATCAAATTAACAAAATCAAATTAATTACCAAAGCTATCAAATTGCATATATGCAGTGCTATCAAATTACCAAAATCAAATTAATTACCAAAGCTATCAAATTGCATATATGCAGTGCTATCAAATTACCAAAATCAAATAGCCAAATAAAATACCCAAACAACGAACAAACCCTAGTTTTAAATTGCAATACAATTGAAAACTCAAAATTCATACAAAATTTCACTAACTACGTACCTTCCATCTTTGACACCCAAAGAATTGCTTTCCCGATTCTCTACTTGTGCAAATTGGAGCTTTCAACCCACAATTACAATACACACTTGGCTCGTACTCCATATTTACTCTAATACATGATGAAGTTGAGGAAGAAGACATCTTGTAGAGCTGTGGGTTCGATAGGAAGAAGAAGAAGATGACTGGAGCTTTGCGATAGGAAGAAGAAGAAGGCGTTGTTGGAGCTTTGCGATAGGAAGAAGAAGAATACGCTCTGTAGCTTTCCGATAGGAAGAATAAGAAGACTCTGTTATAAATAAACACAATCACTTCCACGTCATATTTTTACCGGAGCCATGTCACCAAGGCAACAGGGAAACCTGTAAAAAATGCTAGGTGAACAAATTTTTTTAATTTGTGAATCGAATAATCACTTATGTAAGATTAGGGTGCGGGATGACATTTCGTTGTTGGTTCATGGTGCTATTTGGCACTTCACCCAATATTAAAAATACACAATTTATACATCGTTTAGGACCAAGGTCCACCTTAGACCCTGGTCCATGGTATAACAACTCTCGACACAATTTCTCTAATCTAAATCCATATAAAAAAAATCCATCATCCATCACTAGTAAAAATCAATTTTTTTTTTCCTGAACCAGATTAATCATTGTAAACAAATTTTAAAATCTTAAAATCAAGCATCATATCAAAATAATTCAATCATCAAGAATAATTTAAATGAATTAACCAAACTTTTACCAAAACACGAACACCCTTTTAGATTAGAAATAGAAGCCTCTAATTTTTTAGGAGGTGGTCAGGTGGAGTTTGGCATTTTATAAAGGATGAATTATGAAGAAATGGATGATAATATATTACTTTTCATGTGTCTTGGTAGTTTTTATAAAGTTATTTAATTAAGAACACGTTATTGCAAGAAAGTAATTTAATTTTAAGATAATTTAATTGATCTCAATGCTGTACTTTACTTACTTTTCAGTGGGTCACTCATTATTATGATGTGACTGCGGTAAGTCAAGCACGCTTAACCACATAATTGTTTACCTATATTTGGTTGTTATATCATACTTAAAACCAATTCGTGATAAGTATGTGGGCATTAACTACTTAACCACATCCCTTCATAATAAGGCATAGCTCCATGCCTCGAATTGAGCAGGGGTTGAACACGACCAACCCGGTCGACACCCAATTCAATTGAATAGCTAGTAATCCATATTTATTTCCATAAATGAAAGCAATATTATGATTGCAGTATAATTTCAAACAAATAATTACTCGGAGTAATGAGTTATCGATCACAGGGAAGTGGTGCGTATCATGCACTAGCTACTAATCTATTCTTGTGAAGCTAATCCTAATGGTTATCATGGATGATTGATTAAAATAATTAAACGAAAACAAAGTATACAGGTTTGTGAAAACAATAGAGAGAGAATGAGATTCCTGGGATTCAAATATTTAATCACATAGTGACAATCTTGTGATCAGTATTAAAACTGGGTTTAAACAAGTGTGAGAATGCAAAGATGGTATAGAGTTACTCCCGTAATCTCTAACCCTAGTGAATATTCACATTCGTGATATAAACAACCAACAAAGTAAGAACAAGCATTCATAATAAATTCATAACTACAATACCATCTCCCGATGTGCAATAACTAAGAATTAAACTCCCTAATAAAATTGTCCTCTCTCAATGTGCAACAGTTAAGTGCAATTGTGTGTACTCTCAATTATGCCTAACTCCTATTTTGACATAAATAAAGATATGAAACAAGTAATTCGGGTCCTGAACTACTAGCAACAACAATATAAACACAATTGCAACACAAGTATAAAAACCAAATATTAATATATTAAAGAATCTAAGAGCACAGACACATATATTCATAAACACTTTTTACTCAAGAATCTCTACGGAAATTTAGCCAAGCATGGCTAAATTATACATAACAATTATAATAAAGAATTTACAAATAATCAAAGAGGGTACAAGATAAAAACAAGTTATTTTTCCAAATCTCCCTAGCTTTCTTCTTGCTTCCAAAGACAACTTGTAGCTCTTGACTTTCATCTTTTTTGTCTCCAAAACTCTGACTTGATTTTCCTCTTTCATGTCTCCAAAACTCTGACTGATTGACTCTAGGGTTGAACCAAGGCAGGATTTTATAGCGGGAACCAAGTCGGGGCAAAATATGAATTTTCCGCACAAATTATGGAAATTTCCGAATTTCAACATCTCGCCGGTTCAACGTGTCGAGACCAAGGCGTCGGAAAACTACGAACAACAGCAGAACTTCTCGACGCATCGAAAAGAAACTTGACGCGTTGAGATGTGCTGAATGCGACATGCAAACATTCTGTAATTTTTGGACGCGTCTAGATCGAAACTCGACGCGTAATAAGAAGTCCCAAAGTAGCTTTTTCATCCCAAAAAAAAATTTGTGATCAATCGGTGTTTGAATAAAATAATTTTGTTCCATTTTAAAATTAATTCGACACCGAAGAAATGAATTTCATTAAAAAATTTCATTTTATAAATCCAGTAATAAGAAGTCCCAAAGTAGTTTTTTCATCCCAAAAAAAATTTTGTGATCAATCGGTGTTTGAATAAAATAATTTTGTTCCATTTTAAAATTAATTCGACACCGAAGAAATGAATTTCATTAAAAAATTTTGAAGTTTTCGGGTACTTCGCGTGCCAAGATTTAAATCGAGAATTTTAACCGAGTGGGACTGGGAGAATTCAAAAGGGAATTTTGAACAAGTGTTCATCCATATAGCTTTTGGAAAAATTCACTTTCAACCCCAAAGTAATAAAGAAATATCATTTCTAGCCTATGGTTCATGATACATGGTGGACCACAAGACATCCAAAAATCCCTTATAAATTCATCTTTTAGCTTGGGGAAATTACCCCTTTGCCCTCAACCAATCATTGTGAATCATCCAAGGGTTTTGAACCCTATATAAACCCTTCATTCCATCACATTTTCCTGATCTTACTCTTTGCTTCTTCTTCATTTTCTTGGCTGCCAACAACAAGAAGAAAGAACACAACCTAGTAAGATTGTTCATCCTTCATTCTAGCATCATTTCTCTCCTAGTTTTCTTTAGTCTTTGAAGTTCTAGACTAAGGATAGAAGGTGTGTTGGGAAGTATAGGTGGTGAAGGAGGCGCAAGCTAGGCCAAGAGGAAGAAGAGATCCAAGCAAGAAGACTAGACTACAAGAGGTATAACCCCATGGATTCCTCTTTAGATTTGGTTCTGTGAAGCCTAGTTTTGAGTAGAAATGAGTAGAAACTATGATTTTTTGATGTGTTCATGCTTGGAAGTGATCTACTATGTGTTTTGAGTTGTTGAGATTGTTTTGGAAATGATTGGAGGAATTTTTGCAGGTAAAATCCCATCTAGTGCACAACACAGTGTGCACCAGATCAATGTGGCGGCCCTAGCCGCGGCCCATCAGAGGGGCTGCCGGCTAGAGCCGTGCCACCACGGGACTAGGGCACGGCCCTAGAAGAGGGCCGTAGCCTAGTCCCAACACATCAACGGGGCTCCAGGGGCGGACTATGGAGAGTCCCGCCCCAGGTCCCTGAGTATTGTTCTGATGAGATTTTTGTGCAGTGGCCGGGCCCTTATGTAACACCCCCTAAAAACAAGCTATTTTAAAGCCTTAAACATGCAGATAACTAAACCAAACAACAAACACAACGGAAGACTGAAAGATAGATAGATAGATATAAACCACAGGCAACATCTGCAACATCTGCAACGGGGTGCAATGCCACGTTCACCAAGGGATGAACGCACAGGCAACATCTGCAACGTTTAAATCTAAACCAAATGTCTCATTGTTCTACATCTAAGCTGGCTCACAGGCTACAAAACGTAAGAGAGAAGCTATACTAGCAAGCACTAGACCGCGCACTCGTCTAGACATCACCTGAAAGAACACAATAAACATGGGACGACGCCTGATCAGCGAATAATGATGGTAACCCACCAATACATGTGAAATAACATACATAGGTAAGATATAAGTTTATAAAGCCATTTTTGAAACGGAATACAAGAAGAGAACTCTCAACAAGAACACGGGAACACATCCCAAGACCACAAGGAAAACAACAACTCAAAAGGATAAAGACAAGACCAACAGCAACACATACCTTTGTGACTACACACGTCACAAGAAGAGAACTCACAACAACGGCTACACAAGCCCTCGTGACATCACCCATCACGAGTTGATATGCCTTCCTTATGCCCGGTTCCAACCTTATCGCTACCCCCAACCTTATATCTAGTTCCAACCTTTACCTCCAGGACCCCTGTACACCAAGTCCAACCTTTTCCCTCCGAGGACCGTCGTCCCCTCTCCAACAGATCTCCAACAGAACCACCGATTTCATAGTACACGAGGGTTCCGATCACACACACGGCAACACATGCCACCCAAGAATCACGTGAACCTTACACAAAGGTCACAAACTCCATAATCACGTTGTGGCCACCATGGGGACCACCGCCGTACCTTGGTGATTAAGGCCCCATAAACCGAAATCGTGCAATCCAGGTACAGCCACACACACATCACACCTCAACAGGAATCAATCAATGGATCACAAGACTCAATCAAGGAATGGATCACAGTCCAACGACAACAACGATGAATAACACAAGTTATCATCAACCAATCAGAAGGTACAAACAATACACATGCTAGCATTTAAACACCGAACTAGCATGCTCATCAAACGGGTAAACCAAACGTAGTTCCGAGGAACACACAAGACTCATCATGGTTCAACGAAACACAATGTTGAACACCTAGCACGATTCAAGACACCAAAACCTACATGGAATCCTACCATATAGTTCTAGACATACGAAACATCAAGAAGACACTCGAATAGTTCCACAAAAGAACATTGGGAAGTCAAAAGACCAAATACCGAGTCAAAAGAATCACGGGGAACAAATCCCAATCAAACACCACAGTGTTCCCCGCGGTTAGGCCCACGGGTAGGCTCCCACCCGTGGTTCCGCCCGCGGGTACACTTCCCATCGGCTCATGTTCCCCGCGGCTAGGCGGCGAGTGGAGCTCTACCCGTCGTTCCGCCCGGGGGTACATACCTGTGCCCAAAATAATCCTTTCGGGGATTTTCAACTCCAAGCTTAAATTGAAGTCCAAAACATGCCAAATCTCACCCAATACAACAAAATGACTTCAATCAAAGGAAATGACAAGCAAT